TATGACTTTAATCTCGTAACATTACGACTTAATTCTCGTAAAATTATGACTTTAATCTCGTAATATTACGACTTTAATCTCGTAATATTACGACTTTAATCTCGTAATATTACGAATTTAATCTAGTAAAATTATGACTTGAATCTCGTAATACTTCGACATTAATCTCGTAAATTATGACTTTATTCTCATAAAACTATGTCTTTAATCTCGTAATAATAAAAAAAATCTTGTGTGGCTCTAATACTCCATCGTGTACAGTTGAAGGATTTTCTCGTATTTATTTTAAAGAGATGAGATGTTTGAAAAAGAAAAAAAAACCAGCAAAAGGTTTTGTTGTAAGTAAAATACGAGAACAGTTTTTTTTTCTGTTTAGCACCTGAAGTAAAGCCAGATCAGCATCCTGCGCAAGCTGCTGCAGGTTCTTCACAGCCGAGCAGGTTTTTATCAGGCGAACCATCGCAGGTGAGCAGTCCAGYGGCAGTTGGCTGAGCAGCGCCTTGTCACTTTCCAGCAGCAGCAGGGCGTGATAGGGCCTGCAGGGTCAAAGACAACACAGTTTCTCAATCAACACTATTTATTTACTTTGGATGGTAAGCCAGGTTTTTACTTGACATGTCTAATTCAGCTTTAGAGTCAGCATCAGACTGTATAAGTTAGAGTTTTACTCAAACTGAAAAACCAAACTAAAAAAAGATGAGTCCTAAGCAAAGACTCAGAGCAGCCATTGCAAGAAGACTAAGTCAAATTTATGTTTCAATTTAAAATAACTCAAAAAAATATGATTTATTGTAGATTTCTTACTGGTGTGCTTCAAATGATATATTATTTTATCAAAACTCATGCAAGTATGCTGAATGAGCAATAGGTGGCAGTATAGTCCATAGAAGGCTCATTGTGGACTTAACCAAGCTAAAAAATAAACAATTTGACCACAGCTGATAAAACATGACACTATCATGACATGAACTGATCAGAAATTAAAGGATTAGATTCAGTCCTTCACTTCAGAGTGTAAATGTTTGGTGACAAATCTCCTAAAATGTTACTTATTCATCAAAACATACCATTTAACTCTTAACAGGTGTCTGAACAGAATACTATATGTTGCTCATATTAGTATTAATTTATTTATTGGTCTTTTAGTTATTTTTAGCTTGATTTCTTTGTTAAATCATCTTTAGGTTTAATGGAAAGGTGCTATAC